CCGGCGCCGAACCCGACAGACCCCGAGACGCAAACTCCGCGCCCGGGCCTCCCGCGGCCATGGCGCCTCCGCCGCGGAGCCGGCTGCGCGTCTCCCCGGACTTCCTGCTTCCTCGCCCGGAGCTCACCGCCGGCCACGCCCGCTTTCGGTTTCCGCGGGAGGGGAAGGAGGAGGCGCCGCCCCTGCGGCCCGGCCCGGCGGGCCTCGCCCTGAGCTGGGAGGGGATGGGGGGGGGGCGGTGTGCTAGCACGGGAAAGCCTCTCGATGCCTTCAAAAAGAGAGCCCAGGGCTGGAGCTGCGGCTCCCGCCTGAGGCTGAGATCCGGAGGATCGAAAACAGCCCGGGCAGGAAAGACGGTGAGACCACCAGAAAACTGCAAGTGGAGATGTGGCTCAAGTGGTCAAGCGCTAGCCTCAAGCAAAAGAGCTCAGAGACAGCACCGACGACAGCCCCATGATTGACCCCCCCCAAAAAAAAAGAAATGGAGAAAGTGGGTTACAGCAACTAGCCTGGGCCTTTAGGAGTTAATGGGGTTGAAGGTGTGTGTGTGTGTGTGTGTGTTGGTCCTGGGGCTTGAACTTGGGGCCTGGACTCTGTCCTTTTAGTATGTGTGTGTGTGTGTGTGTATGTGTATGTATGTGTGTGTCTGTTTGTTGGTGTTGGTTCTGGAGCTTGAACTTGGGGCCTGGACTCTCCTTTAGCTTGTGTGTGTGTGTGTTGGTCTTGGGGCTTGAACTTGGGACCTGGACTTTGTCCTTTAGCATGTGTGTGTCTGTGTGTCTGTGTGTTGGTGTTGGTTCTGGAGCTTGAACTTGGGGCCTGGACTCTCCTTTAGCTTGTGTGTGTGTGTGTTGGTCTTGGGGCTTGAACTTGGGACCTGGACTTTGTCCTTTAGCATGTGTGTGTCTGTGTGTCTGTGTGTTGGTGTTGGTTCTGGAGCTTGAACTTGGGGCTTGGACTCTCCTTTAGCTTGTGTGTGTGTGTGTGTTTGTGTGTTGGTGTTGGTTCTGGAGCTTGAACTTGGGGCCTGGACTCTCCTTTAGCGTGTGTGTGTGTGTGTGTGTGTGTGTGTTGGTCCTGGGGCTTGAACTTGAGGCCTGGACTCTGTCCTTTAGTGTGTGTGTGTGTGTGTGTGTGTGTGTATGGCTGTGTGTGTCTGTGTGTCTGTGTGTTGGTGTTGGTTCTGGAGCTTGAACTTGGGGCCTGGACTCTCCTTTAGTGTGTGTGTGTGTGTGTGTGTGTTGGTCCTGGGGCTTGAACTTGGGACCTGGACTTTGTCCTTTAGCATGTGTGTGTGTGTGTGTGTGTGTGTGTGTGTGCTTGTGTCTGTGTGGGTTGGTCCTGGAGCTTGAACCCAGGGCTGGGGCTCTGTCCCTGAGCCTCTCTGGGCTTAAGGCTGGCGCTCTACCCCTTGAGACACAGCCCGACGTCAGCTTTTGCTGAGTCATTCATTGGAGATCAGAGTCTCACAGCCTTTCCTGCCCAGGGCTGGCTTCGAACCGCGATCCTCAGCCCTCAGCCTCCTGAGCAGCTGGGCTGACAGGCCTGAGCCACCGGCATGTTTGTGACGATCCACTGTCCGTGCTGCCGCCGGGGAATCGCATATGGCTTTGCCCTGGACAGACTGACCCTGTCCACAGACTGAGGTCCTGGGGTTTGAGAGCAGGAGGCTGGGGCCAGAGCAGAGGGAACTAAGTGTGTATGTGGCGGGGAGGGGGTCCGCTTGTCAGAGCAGTCGTGGACCCAACGCTGAGGCTGCGCCCTTGTGGGAGGCGACACATTGCGAAAGTCGGGTGTCCAGTGGGCAGCCCTGGCGGGGATCAGGCGACGTCCACCCTTCCCTCAGCCCCCAGGAGGCCAGGCGGGCCGTCCAGCCGGACTTTGGAGCCTCGGACGGGCGACCGAGAGGCGTGGCCTCAGGCAGATCCTCCTCCTGATTGGCTGGCTGCGATGAGCGGGGCGTGGTCTCAGGCAGCCAGTACCCACTTCCGAGTCAATGAACGGGAGGGCGTGGTGTCAGCAGCTAGTGGCTCCTTATGATTGGCTAGCTTCGATGAGCGGGGCGTGGCTTCAGGCAGCCTCCTCCTCCTCCCCCTCCTCCTCCTCCTCCTCCCCCCCCCGCCAACTTCTGATAGGCTGAAGCGGGAGAGCGGGCGTGGTCTAAGGCAGCCAGTGCCTCCTTCTGATTGGCGAGAGTCGGGGGGTGGGTGGGCACCTTCGGGACGCTTTCGCAAACTCCGGTTTGGCTGGCACACCTCGAGCGGGGGTGGGGGGGGAGGCGGGGTAACCGGACGGCGGTTGTGCGCAGGCGCGGGCGAAGGTTTTCATAATTCCCGTTCGCAAGAATCGGGGCGCAGGAGAAGCCGGGGGCGTTGTCCATGGAGTCCAAGGCTGCCGTTTGGAGGCTCCAGGTGCTGCTGGGACATCTGTCCCGCCGGCCCGACTCGGACCCCGGGCCGAGGGCCGCGCCGTGCCGCG